GAGAGAGAGAGTAGTGTGTGTGTGTGTGTGTGTGTGTGTGTGTGTGCGTGTGCGTGTGCGTGTGTTCTATAACGCCGACGCAAGCGCCGGCCCAAAGCCGGCATGCATATCACTCATGCAAACACACACACACACACTCATGCAAACACACACACACACACACTACCCCAGCCGCGCTGCCCCACCTCCTGGGCGAGGGTGTCCGCGGCCTGCTGGATGAGGTCTGCCGTGAGCTTCTGCCCAGCCAGCTGCTTCGCCGCCGCGGTGGACTTGCTCGCGTACGGCGTGAAGCCCCCAAACACCATCGTCGGCGTCCCTTGCACTGCACCACCCCAAGGATGTGTGTCGTGTGCATGATGTAGTGAGCATGGGCGTGAGTGTGTACAAATGAGAGAGTGTATGGCGATTGCTTTGTTTGTTTGCATCAACACACAACGTGCCATCACACACTGGAAGCAGCACCATTTCCCGCACAACTCCTCTCAATCCCAAGCGCACACGGTGTGCACGCACCCGTGTTGCTCGAGTCGAGGTTGATGAGGATGGCAGCGTTGATGTACGCGTGACAGTTCTCGTGGCGCTTCATCACCTGAAGAACCGAACACATCAAGACAGGTGAATACAACATCAGGCATATGGGCATTAACACATCCTTTCACTGCAACCGTGGGTACTCGTTCTCGCACAGCGCAGTCCATACTGTTGCGTACGCAATAACTGCCACCCCCCCCCCCAAAGAAGCAGCAAACAACCAAACAAGCAAATAAACACACCCACACATCCATACACCATACACACATCCATACACCATACACACACACACACCCGGGCGCACAGCGCATGTGTACCTTGTGCGTGGTGAAGTGATCGCCCTTCTTCAGCGCAGGAATAGACAGGGACGTGATTACCCAGCCAGCCATGTCAAACTGAAGAAAATCAAAGAAGTTGAGTGTCTTCGTGCCTGCGCAAGAAATTGTGTTGTTGGGGGGCGGGGGTGCAGGAAACTTTGACGTGAGAAGGCGAGCAAGGGTGAGTGAACTCACACAGGACACAGGCACACACACACACACACACACACACACACACACGATGTACAAACACACATGATGTACAAACACAACACACACACACACACACATGCACGCAAACGATGGCTGTAGCAGCAGCTCACCCTGCGACTTGCTGTTGACGGTGAGGGTGGCGTTTGCACCAGCCATGATGGTGAAGATGTCGCTTGGGAAGTCCGGGTTGTCGTGCACCATCATCACGTTCCCGGCCCACGACGCAACAGAGCGAATCGGCGTCGACGCGACCTGCAACGTGTGCACGTGTGTGCATGTGTGTGCATGTGCGTGTGTGTGTGTGTGTGTGTGTGTGAGTGTATGTATGAGAGTACGTGAGTGCGTGAGAGTGCGTGAGTTGTGGTGGCAAGGTGAATGTGATTGACGAGGTCTGTGAGACCATCACGTGGGTTGCGAACAACAACAACAGCGGACCTTCTTCAGGTGATCGGCGAGGGTCTCGAAGGAATCGCTCAGGGCCTTTTGCTGTCACGCGCGGTGATCAAAGTGGGATGACAGGCGGCATGTGAGGGATGCGTGAGAAATACGGCACATCGCAAGCGCATTGCACAGCTAGAACTCAAGTGCACGGGTGGTCTGCACACACACACACACACACACACACACAACACACATACACAGACATACACACAAACCTGGATGAGGTAGTCGATGAGGGCGGCGATGGTGACACCGGCGCCAATGTGGAGGGTGCCGTCGTGGTCCGAGTTGGTGGACTGCAGCGCCACCAGCCGTGACACATCAATCTTCACTGCAGCCGCCAAACGAAGCAAACACCAGGGGGTGTGGTGGCAGAGAAACAAAGAGGACACGAGAGGAAATGAGAGGAAGCAAGGGGGTGGGGCAACCATGTGGCGTGAGTGAAGTGGACGGGAGAAACGGTCAGTCAGGCGCAGCGCAACAACACAAACGATTTCGTGCCAAGGTCATGGCGCCACAAGAACGGAAGAAGACGGTTCACACAAGCGCATGTTAGCAAGAGAACGACAAGTGATGTTTGGGACAGCGGCCACTGGACACGCAGTGATGCTCACGTGTCGGGTTCTGGTCCTTGAAAACGCCAGTGGAGGTGTTCCCAAAGACGAGCATGTACTTCTGCTCACAGCGGTCAAGGGCGATGGGAAGAGAGGGTGTGAGTGCGAATGTGTGGGTGCGTGCGAATGTGTGCGAATGTGTGCGTGTGCGAGCGAGTGCGCGCGAGTGTGAGTGTGAGCGTGAGCGTGAGCGTGAGCGTGAGTGTGTGCGCGCGAATGTGTGTGAGTGTGTTCATGTGCGTTCATGTGCTTGTGTGTTCATGTGACAAGTATGGATGCACGGAGAAAGACTTGCAGCAGCACTCACGTCCTTCTTGTGCGAGTCCACAATGGAGAGGAGGTCATCCAGGCTGTGAATCAGACGCAACAGAGACTACAGGGTCAGCCCCACGCACGAAACACACACACACACATGCGAGCAAGAGAAGGCAACCATGCACGCACACGCTACACAGAGAGACAGATAAAGACTGTGTGTTTGTGTGCGTATGCATGCGTGGATGTGTATGTGTGTGTTTGTGTGCGTATGTAAGCGTGTATGAGTGTACGAGTGCGTATGAGTGCGTATGAGTGCGTGTGTGTGTGTGTGTGTGTGTGTGTGTGTGTGTGTGTGTGTGTGTGTGTGTGTGTGTACACGCACTCGACGGGCTCGATCCAGGAGACGGTGTCAGCAGCAATCTTGAGGCGGGCGAGCTTGCGGTCGGTGCTGCACTGGTCTGCGCACGCCTGAACACACACGACGAGACATGCACATGCACACACATGGCAGTGCAGTGAAGCATGTCAAAGTGGAGAAATTCGGGGTGGAAAGCAACGCGCGATCGTATTGGCACACCTCAACAAAAGTGCGGTGTTGAAAAGACGACACACACATGCGCGCGCACACGCAAACACACACACACGGAAACACACACACACACACACACACACACACACACACACACACACACGGAAACACATGCATCTGCATCAATTGTAGCACAGCGCGTCACGTTGCGTGTCACACCTGGCCGCAGGGGAGCTTGTCGCACGGGGTGTGGTAGACACCGCTCATGTCCTCAATGTCGGTGCTGGCGGGGAAGTCCGCATCGACAGCGAAACTCTTGAACGCGTCCAGGATTGGGCGGTACCTGCGTGGTGCGTGTGACCAAGTGGAAGGGAAGGGGAGGGGTGGAAGGAAGGAAGGGGTGCAAGGGAACAGAAGGGAAGGGGAGAGAAAGAAGGAGTGTGCATGCACGCGTATGTGTTTATGTTTATGTTTGTTAGCAAGTGGAGCATGCATGTGAACTGCTTTGGAGTTGCGTTTGGTGATTGTTCTTGTTTGTACATTTGCGTGATGCGTTGTGATGAAAAGTTATGCATGTCAATACACCACACAGGCAAATTGTGCACGATCACTTACCCGGTGCAGCGGCAGATGTTTCCGTCAAGACAGTCCTCCACCTCCTGCTTGGTCGGCTGCGGGCTGCGCTGCAGAAGACTGCACACACACACACACACACACACACACACACACACACTTGTGAGGGGGGATCGTGGAGGAGAGCCCGGACAATAGCAGGGACGATCACAAGGGACAACACAGGGATGGACACATGCAGACAACCAAAACAATAAACAGAAACGCCAACATAACAGCAGCAGCAGTCACCACACGCACACTCACACCCACAGATACACAGCCACACACGCACATGCACACACACATGGCTGACCTGTACATGGACATGACCATGCCGGATGAGCAGCCACCGCACTGGGAGCCCCAGTGGGTGGCCAGCGTCTTCTGCACAGGGTGCATCTTCGTGCGAGTGCTGTAGTCCACACCAGTACATTGAGTCATATGGGGCAATACACGCAAGGCTTGCAATGTCAGCAGAGGCACGTGACACACACACACACACATGCATAGAGGTACAACTTCAAATCGCACACACAAGAGACACAAAAATACATACAAACAAGCAAACCAACAAACATACAAACAAACAAAACAAGCAAGCAAGCAAGCACATGCAAAAACAAACAAAACAAACAAACAAATGCACACAATACCTTCCGATGCCTTCCACGGTGGTGATCTGGAGACCCTCGCATGCCGCGAGCAGGCGCAGGCACTGCACGGATACACCACGGAGAAAACAGCGTAGACACAGTGCGATGAAATAGAAAGAAGAGCGGAATGTGAGTAGAAAGGGGATGGGAGGGGAATCAGTGGTAGGGCAAGTGTGAGTGTGTGTGTGTGTGTGTGTGTGTGTGTGTGTGTGTGATGACCAAACCACTGATGAGCGAGGCCCTGTTCACTGTCGCGTACCGAGTTTGCGGGGACGGTGACGTCCTTGCCAGAGGCAGTGTCCTTCTTCGTGATGGCCACGACGCACGCACCGCAGCCACCCTCAGCACACGACAGCTTGGTGCCCTGCAAAGCGGAGTGGGTTTCGATTCGTGATTAGCTCCAGCTCCATTTGACAACGGCCATACATGCACGCATGCATGCACCCACAAGCAGGAAGACAATCCCAGTATGAGACACACACACACACACAACAAACCAAAGCATGCAAATCGCACACACACACACACAAGCAAGAAGAAGGAATAAACAAAGGCAAAGCAACGCAAACGCGCACGGACACAAACACACGCACACCCACGCACATCCAGACACACACACACACACACCCACGCATGAACTTGTTGTTGTCTGTGCACACCTTGAGGCCGGCGATGGTGCGGATGTACTCGTTGAGTGTCATGTCGGGATCCGGGTTCTGTACCTTCTGCGGCTTGCCGTTGAGGGTGAAGGTGAGTGTGCTCTTGGTCGGCACGTCCGACTTGAACACAATCTTGGCGTTGCATGTTGGGCAAAAGCCGTGGTACGATG